CAAGCCCGTCTGTCACCTGCTACGTCTGTGGTCTGACGGGTCACACACGCAACGTCTGCTCATTCCGCAGCGATATTTGCGGCCGGTGTGAGAAGCGAGGCCATCTCAGCACGGTTTGCCGAGGACCGGCCATGCAACCCCGTGTCCGCGGCCGTCTTCGTGGGCGCTTGGGAAACGGCCGTCAGTCTGTCCCGAGGGGCCCGAGGCAGACTGCAACCAGATCAGCGACCGTGGCCCCTCTGTCATGGCCCGATGTCGGCGACAGGACGCCAATGTCGATGCAGCAGCAGCTTCAGCAGCAGCAGCGGCTGCTGCAGCCGTCACCGCCGCAGTGGATGCCGCCTCCGCCGCAACTCGCACCGCCGCCGCGGCCAGAGCCGCTGCCGACTCAGCAGCCGCAGCCGCCGCCGCCGCCGCAACAGCAGCAGTAAGGCACACCACGACAACAGCTCCGGAGGCGAAAACACCGTTACCAGGTCGGTACATTCACATATCCGTCAATGGTCGAGATTGTCTCTCCTTGTGCGATACCGGTGCCGATAATACCGTAATTCGACGAGAGCTGTTGGCCGATGACGCTCATCTTTTGCCCCCGGAACGACCAGTGAAGCTGGCTAATAATGAACTCTGCCCCGGGATAATCGGCCGTGCATATGTGGACATTCAGCTGGGATTGTTTACACAACGCACATGTGTGTATGTGGCCACGACCCTGTGCGAGCCCTGTCTGCTCGGTGCAGATATCCTGACAGCTTCTCGGGCCGTTATAGACGTTTATAACGGGACAATGACCGTACAGGGGCAGACGGTACCTATGGTGGCTCGACCACGATCCGGGGACCAGGGACATCTCCAGTGGCGGCGAACAGGGGCTGTGATAATTGGTCGCACGATTGTGGTGCCGGCCAGCAGCGAGATGATTTGTCCGCTAACGTATCTGTACAAAAATGCGACCGAGTTACCGAGCCTACTCACACACTGTGCTGTAAAGGTGAGTGTGACAGTGAGCGGGGGCTGACCGGTATGGTGGAGCGTGCCGCAGAATTCGCGGACACAACGGATCTGTGTGTGGCACGTTTAGCCGTCACTGTGAAACAGAATACTGTACCCGTCAGGCTCAGCAATCTGTCAGACAAACCCGTCACGCTGTACAAGGGAACAAAAATCGCAGATTTTGAGTCACTGGACGAGAGCGAGTTCTGTGATGGGGCAGTCGCCGAATCAGAGTTTCGTCCGGACCAAGCTGTGGCACACCTGGAGGAGCCATCAAAGTCAGAGTTCTCGGCCCTGCTCACAAAGTACCGGGAGGTCTTCACCGGACTGGGACGCACCCATGTCGCCGAACACAAAATTCTGACCGGCGACCACCCACCCGTTTTTCAGGGTCCTCGACCTGTACCAGGTCATCTAGCTGGGGAGGTCAAATCACAGCTCGACGATTTGGTGGCTAAAGGGGTGCTGGAGCCAGTATCTGAGTCCGAGTGGGCTTCTCCGCTGGTTCTGGTTAAACGCGCGAATGGGGGTCAAATCCGAATTTGTGGAGACTTCCGACGATTGAACAGCATAACAATCCCCTCGGTCCAGGTTATACCCCGTATGGACACGTGTCTACAAAGACTCGCCGGCGCAGTATAGGTACTTTACATCACTGGATTTGAAAAGTGCCTATCACCAGCTTCCAGTGGCTGATCAGGACCGAGCTAAAACCACTATCGCGACGGAGTTTGGCCTTTTTCGGTATACCACAGCTCCGTACGGAATTCAGGGCATTCCACATTCCTTCAATCGGGCGCTCAGGCTAGTGCTGTCTGATGTACCTCCGGAGACGGCCATTCAGTATTTTGATGACGTCATGATTGTGGCAAAATCCTTGGATGAGATGCACACCAATTTGGAAGCGGTCCTCGCAGCACTGCAGAGGTCCGGCCTGACGGTGTCGCTGAAGAAGCTACAGCTGTGCCAGAAAGAGGTCAGTTTTCTGGGTTTCAGGGTCAGTGCGGCTGGAGTGCAATGTGATCCTGAGAAGATCAGGGACATTCAGCAGTGGCCCGCTCCGACCAATCCTAAACAGGTCAGAGTGTTTCTGGGCTTGTGCGGCTACTTGCGTCATCACATCTGTGGATACGCAGCACTGGCTAAGCCACTGACGAAACTGACAGAGAAACACCGCCGCTTTAGCTGGGGACCAGAGGAGCAGGCGGCGTTTGATCGGCTGAAAGCAGCGCTGGTGTCTCCTCCAGTCCTCGCACTGCCGGTGTTCAGTGACGAGTCGCCCCCATTCACCCTCGATGTGGATGCCAGCGGGTCTGCCCTCGGAGGATGCCTGATGCAGGGTGACAGAGTGATTGCCTATGCCAGCCGTGCTCTGACGAAAGCTGAGCGGCAATATAGCGTCACTAAACGCGAGCTACTGGCCGTAGTCTGGGCAACCAGCCACTTCCGCCAATACCTTCTCGGCCGTCGGTTCCTTTTGCGAACTGACCATTCCGCCTTACAATGGCTGTTCAACATGAAGGACCCCACGGGACAGCTGGCTCGCTGGGTGCTGCAGCTGTCAGAGATGGAGTTCGATATCGTGCACCGCCGTGGCGCTCTGCACAATGACGCCGACGCGCTGTCGCGGTATCCGCACACAGCGGCCGATCCAGAGCAGCGCTATCGGTGGGTCTGTGTCCCGGTCGCAGATGACCAACTGAATGACGACACACTTGAATCTGCGGCTACAGCGCAAGCTGGCAGCGATGACAGTCATTCCCAGGTGCGGGAGGTGCCAGCCCCGGTTTCCACAGCGGCTGCTGTGTCCACGGCAGGCACAAGTGCCAGTGTGACCCCTGTCACCATGTCCGAATTCCAGAGAGAACAAGACCGAGATGAGGGCATTCGAGAGATGCTGGTGTGGAAAAAACGAAAGCAAAAGCCGAGGACCGGCCAGCTGCGCTCGCCGCAAGCTGTTCAGCTTCTGAGAGAGTGGAAGCGTCTGGTAGTTAAAGGTCCGGTTCTCTACAGGCGGGTGCAGCCTCTCAGAGACGCGCCTTTGTGCTTGCAGATCGTCGTGCCGCAGCATTTACGACACGATCTGATGGAGTCCCAGCACAGCGGTCTCGGAGGTGGACACCAGGGAGCCGCGAAGCTGGAAAGCGCGCTCCGTCGCCAGTTCTTTTGGCCCGGCATGCAAGCTGACGTGAAGACGTTCTGTCAGCAGTGTGTCATCTGTGCGCGCCGAAAGGACCCTCCGCACCCACCGAAGGCTCCGCTCGGGTCTCTGCAGGCGGCAGAGTTCTTCGACCGGCTGGATATTGACATAATCTCAGGACTGCCTACCAGTGAACCACACGGGTACAAATACGTATTGACGTGCATCGATGCCTTCACACGTTTTGTTTGGGCGTTTCCACTGAAAACGCAGGAGGCGTCAGAGATAGTCGAGGTGCTGATGGATCGAGTCGTGGGATCTTTTGGTGTGCCCAAAACAATCCATTCTGATCAGGGTAAGAACCTGGTAGGAAATGTCACAAAAATGTTCTATGAACGACTGGGCATGTCACAAAGCACCACGACGGCCTACCATCCTCAAGGAAACGGCTACTGTGAGCGCAGCCATCGATTTCTGATGGATACGGTGGCTAAGCTGACCGCAGAGGAACAACGGCAGTGGTCTCGCTTCCTCAGCGCCGCGGTGCTGGCTTTCAACGCCAATACCAACGCCGCCACTGGCCTATCGCCGTACGAGTGTGTGTTTGGCCGACCTGCGCCACTGCCAACCGCACTGCGTTATCGCGCGGTCATTGATGGTGGTGGCGACTCGCAAGGCCAGCGAGTACCCCGAGACACTCTGGAGTATGTGATGGGTCTACAGCGTACCCTCACGCGCACAGATCAGCAGCTGCACGCAGCTAGCGTTGCCGCGCACGATAAAAATAAGATCAAACACGACGCTCGCCTCGTCGAGCATACGTACGCCCCGGGTGACCTCGTATGGCTGCGTCAGAATTCAGTTAAGGCAGGAGAAGCGAGAAAGCTCTCTTCCCGATGGACCGGACCGTACAGAGTGGTGGAAAAACGACGGAACTGGACGTACAGGATAGTGCGTGAGGAGGGCGTGACGCAAATGACGGTGCACCATAATCGACTTAAGCCGTGCCATGCGCGCCGTCCAGAGCATCCCCACGGGGCTACCCCGGTTTACCCAACCCGGGTGTTTTGCCGCAGTCAGCCTCCGGTTACTCAGCGACAGGATCCAGCACCCCAGTGTCACCTCAGAGGGAACGGCCGTGCCTTGACTGGCGACCAGACCGTGAACGATCCCGCGTCCCATGAGGGACCTACTAGTGAGCACGGCCGACATATAAACCCATCCCGGCAGCAGACAATTGGGAGGCCAACTCCAGGGGTGTCACATCTGTCACGAACTCGGTCAGGCCGCTTGATTCGGCAACCAGACAGGCTTTAGTGGCCACTTGTGCCTGTCATACGCCGCACAGACAAGTGATGGCCCTATACCACGTTAGTTTGCCTCTGTTTGTGTACGAGTATGCTATGTGTGTTCTGTGTATGCCATTTTTCTTGTCTCAAGCCATTTTTGTTTCCGGGACGGAAACTTTTGTCCGTGGGGGATAATGTAATGGGTTCGATATTGACTTGCATCCCCGTAGTAAGATGCATGTGAGAAAATAGGCCGCGTGATGCTAAAGAAAATGAATGCGGCTGGTGATCTCGTGGAAAATGGAGTTTTGACATTCTGGAATATATAACGATTGTGTGAAAAGCATTTTACATGACTATGATAATTTAACGAACGATTAAGCATAAATACCGACTCGAGACGAACCCACTTCATTGGGAAAGGACATTGGCTAAATATGGAATGGCAAACATCTCTATGCACGTTCACCGTCAATAAGGCACATAATTTGAGCGTCTCTCTAAATATTAAATAGAAAAACAAGCAGGTCCTTCTGAACATCCATTGTCCGGTACGTTTCCCCTCCCTGCACACTCACCGCCCAGCGCAGGTCGCCGATCGGGGGCCGGGCGTAGGGGATCCCTCGGAAGGCGTAGTAGTAGCGGCTGCCGCCGACGCTGTTGAACGTCTCGGCATACTCGAGCCTGCCCTGGAGGCGGCCCAGTCGGGTGCCGATCACTATCTCCCTGCGGGCCACCTGCTGCGCGCCGAGTCTTCCCGCAGCCAGCAGCAGCAGCAGCGGCAGCGCCGGCGGCACCGCCCGCCCCCGGCTCATGTCTGCCGGCGCCGGCCGCCGCCGCCGCGCGCACACCCCCGCCGCATCAGCCCGATTATTCGCCGCGGCGCGCCCGGCCTGGAAACCGGAGCGCCGGCGGAGGCGGGCGGCGCGGGCCCGCTCCAGCGGCCGCTGCGTATTTAGTGTCCGGCGGCGGGCCCAGCAGCCGTCACGCCGTCGAGACCGTCAGGTGACACGACACGCGAGGGCCGGCTCGGATATAGGGGAAGTTGGGGCAATGCCGGAGTTGGGGCAAAGCCGAAATTCGAGATATTTCTAAAACCGTACGACATGGATGCCACGTCTCAGTGATGGTCTGAAGCTTAAGTGACTACAATTATCGCATGTTTGTTACGAGTCGTCATTTGGAATACTTCGGCTGTGAGGGCGCCAAAAGCGTTTTCAAGGTACGTTTCCCTTGTACTACATGCGCCTTTGAAGCTGCATTTCTTACTCATTATGCTACCGTTTGTCTGGCCAATTCGGTCAAGTAATCTTCAGCATGTCTTTGCATAAGTGTGCTGCCTATTTGAAATTTATACAGCACGTTTAAAAGTTATGGGCCTGCAAATGAAAGTATGGCTGGCTGGGGTAATGCCGAAAACGTGCAATTACGCACGTTAAAGCACGCTACGTGGACTTTACTGCTGTAGAATAGCAACGCGTATTTTTAGTCAAACAAAATACACTTTCAGCCGGCACAACGGCCTGTTACCTATAAGGAATGATTTACCTGGCATTTTCTTATTATATCACACAATTATAACTTCCACTGTGCACCAAGCGTCCTCAAGCTCTTAAAACGCGTGTCAGCTTTGATGAATTTTGGATAAAGTTTGAGATAAATTGGCAAAACATCAATGTCGGCATTCCTCGTAGATCATTTATCCCATTTTCGGCTTTCCCCGCAGTCCGGGGCAACGCCGAAAAAGTCAGTTCTTTGATATTTTTAGTTTTTGCGCTTAACGGTATGCGAATTCATCAAATGCGCCTGGTATGTTTGAAAGACAAAAGACTGGCCTCTCGAATGACGCCAACAAGAATAGCTTATGTTGTCTACCTTGCGTGCTACGGGCGTCAGAAAAAAAGTATTCGGCGTTCCCCCAACTTCCCCTACCGGGCGATAAGCGCCGCCCGTCTCCAGGGCGGTCTTCCGGGTTCAGCGCACAGCACTTCCGAGCCCTCCGCGCCACAGCACACACACTCCGGCGGGCACACGCACAGTGCGCACACACTGCCGCCGCGTCAACGCACTCGACGCACGCTACAAGTCACACAACACACCCCAAACGCACTGAAGCACAAGACCAAACACGTCGAAATCGCTGGAACCACGAGCTGCGCCACGAGGTGCGCCGTGTGCGGTGTGACACGGTGCTCCGCCCATGCCGCTGTGTCCAGGCTGCGATGCGCCCGGTCCGGCCGCTCGGTGCCGCCGCTCGGCCACGTCTGCGGACACTCTGCCGACCACACTGGGTCACAGCCGTTCCCGTTTCCGTCCCGGGATGGGCGAGAGTGGAGCGCGGCCCGCAGAGGCCACTGCTGGGTGCACGCGCGGCCACTTTCCACGGCGCCGCCGACCGAATACCGCTGGCGATCCGGAACTGCAGGAAACGACGCAACAGCATGCAATGATAATGACGTCGTATCGACTATAACAAAACACTTGCGGCCCACCCTTCTCTCGCACAAGGTCGTTAATTCCTGATATCTAGACGCTTCTGTAGTGTTCCACATTCATTCAAAAATATGCATCTACAATGCATACATCAACATGTAACATTTTGTATGCGTATAGGGCTATACGATTAGTTCCAGTTTGGTTCCGACTTTGATAAGACTGTTTTCGAACTTATTAGCTCACCTGAGCTGGGTATCGGCTCCGAGACACTAGCTGTTAGTGACGCTAAATGCTGACAGTCGAACTAGCACTCCTCACTGGCTCCGACTAGACGGCAACTACGCAGGAGTGGGCAGCCGGCTGCGCGCCTCCACCGGGGTCGGTCTCTGCCCCCCCCCCCCCCCCGCCGAGTCGGAGCGGCCGGCCGGCCGTAACGGTGTCGGAAGCGCGACTGTGTCCGTCAGCGAACAACAGCCGGGGATGGCTGTCCGTGTCCGGTGCCGATCGGAGATAAGGCCGCACTGACGGCCGCGCTCACATACCTGATAATGCACGTCGCTACCGTAAAGAGAAACGGCTTCACAGCCGCTACTGTGGAGAGGAATGGCTCCAGAGCCGCTACTGTGCAGACGAACGGTCCATGGTGATCCATGGTGGTTGCTCCAGAGCCACCACCATGGATATGAAAAGCCGCTCCAGAGCCGCTACTGTGCAGACGGACGGTTGCTCCAGAGCCACCACCATGGAAAGAAACGCTACTGTGGAGACGAATGGCTCCAGAGCCGATATTTTGGCGAAAAATGGCTCCAAGAGACGGAGCCCGTTCTAGGTCGATCAATAGATCTACAGCGGTAAATTCCGAAACTCATTGCAGTTGATGGGCTGAAGCGTTCGGGTACACAATGTCGGGTACACGGCTGGATGATGTAAACAGCAGTGTAGTCTAACGAATGCCTTCGCGAGAAGGACCCGGCAAAACACGTGGTCTCTTATGTGAGATGAATAGCAAACTAAATGAAGTGTAAAAATATCGCGAAATAGTAATCTCAAGCGTAATAGCCTCATTTTGCATTTTGGCGACACGATATCAGGCGTCCTTTCAGAATTATAACCTTTTACCTCCGAGTTGCATACATCTCATCTCATCATCAGACTTCCCTCCCAACCCAATGTCTATCTATAGACATTGGGTTGGGAGGGAAGTCTGCGTCCCACACGACCCAGCAGCAGGATGCAGGCACACGCGCAGTAGGAAGTAGTTAGTCACTGTTTTACGTGGCTTCTCGATGGCTTCTGTTAGGCGTTAATCCTCCCCTGAAAGTGTGCTTACCGTACCTTGGCCTGCTCGTAATCTCATTACTGCGCATTTTAGGGACAACTTTAGAACTACTGCATACCTATCTACGAGTACCTGTTCTGCCGACTACACAGAACGATAATAGAATAGAACAGTGTAGTGTTTGATAATGCATCTCTTCAGCTTTTGAAGCGTATTTTCAACCGACAAAGCAAATTGTTGAGGAAATGCGACCTAACAGTTTAATGTCCGAAACGTTTTAGGTATGTAGGGGAAGGTGGGGTAAGACGGCCCAGCGGGGCAAGACGGACCACCAGCCCTCCCGGCTGAACCGCTGCTGGTATCTACTGCTTTATGCACTCACTATGTTTGTTTTCCTTCGTAACAATGGCCACCTTGAGCTCATGCTGCTAGGATGTATAGCTTTTGAGTTATTGAGAAAAATGTTGTTTTTCGTCAAACCGATCTAATATAAGAGGTCTACGGGCAGGGGCGGATCCAGAAAATCTCCAAGGGAGGGGCCATTAGAAACCAGGAGGCCCCCCCCATAATCCCACCTGTTGGAGGCCCCATCTTCCCACTTGTTGGCCCCCCCAAAAAAAACTGCGTCTATTGAGCTTATCTAGCTGTTCAGGCAACATCTCAACATCTGTGCAGGCTTGGAGGCCCTCTGTGCGGGTTAGGAGGCCCTGTAAAAGTGGTCATCTCTGTGAGTATAAGAGACCTCCAAGTTATGAAAAGCTTTACCAATCTTCTAACAAAGAAGTCTTCTCAGCTAGTCTTCTAAGAAATAACTAAGTGGGTAGGTTTAAAAAAACTCATCGGATTTCGGCCACTTTATTTTCAGGAGGCCCCCTTTTCAGCTTTTTAACTTTTTAACTTTTTTTTTTAAATCGGCCAAGGGGGGGGCCATGGCCCCCATGGCCCCCCCCCCTTGTATCCGCGCCTGTCTACGGGTGATTCAATTACGGCGCCTTTCTTGCATGGTTAGTTTCTATTTTGCACTTAACTGTGAAGAACAAAGTTATAAACTTAGTTATAGTCACACTTTAGGAAAGGCAAGGTTTTGCAATGTTGGGCTATTTGACATATACGTCATGATAATGACAGAATTTAGATCTGGGGCAAGACGGACCACTGTGGTCCATCTTACCCTGTGGTGGTCCATTGTACCCTGCATATGAAAAGTTCTTTTCCAAAACATTGACACAAGTTTAAGTAAGCTAATTTTTCAGGAAGGAGTCTTTGTTACATGTGAGCCATGCATGCAAGTGCTCAGTTAGCAATTAGCATGCATTCATGCCAAACGACAATCAACACACATGTTCCCAGCTTTTAGCTGCACTTCCATCACACATGAGTAAAGGATAAAGGCTCATTTTGTTATTTTACCATTCTGGTTACTTTTTCTTACAAGAGTACAGAGCAGAAGTGTAACACACATGAACGGATAGCAGGCACTGCTGGGTGGTCCGTCTTACCCCACGTTTTTTCTTGTCTGAGTTTTTGACATGTCCCTCTTTAAGAGCATCCACCACCTAGATGTCTTTAATTTGAAATTTAGTCTTTACACATATCAACAGAGGAAGGATTGAGCATTCCGAAGACTATAAATAATATGAATTACGAGAGCAGTGTAGCAAGATATGCGGCCTCAAGCCTTAGCTGGTCCGTCTTACCCCACCTTCCCCTATTTACCGTTAGGCATGGATAGGTACACATTCGCTTGATTTTAAAATTGGCCCCATCCGTTGATGATGGGTCGATATTTAATTTAAAAAACTATACCCCAGGCCCCAGGCAAAAAAGAATGGAAAAAGGGAAACCTATAACACTGCTTCACCTAAAAAAAAATAAATTATCATGACGCAAAGCAGGATCTAACAAAGCCGACGATAGGATAGGTAGGTACTAAAATGATGGGTAACAAAAAAGTACCTAATAAGAAAATTTAACAGCTTGTTATGAAGGAAGAACGAAACACTGTTGCATGATATCATGTCCTGTCCCTCAAACCACAATTTCCGGCATTCAAACGGTGACTTGAACGAGGGATTGACCCAGTTATTTACACCCAGCCCAATGCACAGTAGGCGATTTCGCTATCCTAGCACTTCATGAGCTATATCTTAAGTTAGACTCAAAACCAGTCATCCTTAAACCCCTTATTTTGTGCCTAGTTTCATTGCGCTTCAACTGATATAAGTGTTTGCATCAGAAGTAATCAGGTTTTCTTTGCAACGTGCAAGAAAGCGAGCAATGCCTTTTCCCCATAGGCTTAACACAGGACAGAAGAGGCTTAACAAAAACATATACAGTGTTGTCTGTGTTATGAGTGACTTACTTCTCAACTAGCGTCAGTTACGGATGAACCACTTGATCGCAAACCACGGGTGCTGGTTTTGCAAAGAAAACATTGTTGCAAACATAGAGATCTCTGTGGTTGCAAAGGCGCTTTCAGACTGGTCTGTTTGGGGGAAAATAGTACCAACAGACTACCACATTTCAGGAGATCGCAAGTTATCGTGTTATAGGAAGAAGGTAATTATCGGTGAAATGAAAATGGTTTAGCGCTGAAATTGCATGTAAGCAAAGCTAAGATGCAATTGCAAAGCAAAAAAGAGGAGACCATGACTTGCGAAAAATTGTGGTTGTTTGAACGTTCCGATCACATGTTCTACAAATAAATAGCTTTAGCTAGTGCCTAGTATCGTGTCTACCTACAACGTAAGTGTAACGCTTATGTTTGGTGGTTGGGATTCAAAGTTGCGAAATGAATGTACGCTAACGGAGTTAAAGGAAGGAGTAGGAATTTCGTTTTCCGTTTGGCCTCTAAATGAGTTAGAACTTCGGTGCCACGTGGGCATGCTGCTCTCCCCGAACGGAAGCCATTTCTACCTACCCGATTGTAAGTTTTTTAGGTCAGAGTTCCCAGGTCACGAAAATGGTCGAAGGAGGTCAAATTGCATACCATTTGATTCGGCAGATCTTCCTGAGTTCATTAGTGGCTTGCCTGAATCGCTAGCTCAATTTGTTGGGGAGTTATGGACCAAAAACTATAATGACCAGATCATAGTGACGTCATAAATGACGTCACGCAAGTTCAACAATGCAAAAGTAAAGCATCGGACCTTGCAACAGTAAAGCTTGAACTAGTTTGATATCGTTCCCGGCGCCAAAATAGCAGCGTTCATTTTACAACATTGACTCACAATGGTGAGGTCATGTGATCGACCTGACCTCATGTGACCTTTAGGGAAAAACCGAGACATACAAACTGTGAATCCTCTGGAGGATACTAGGTTCTGTAAGTTTCATCTCCATGTGAAAGCTGCTCTGGCATTGAGGGCTTTGCGAAATTGCGACATCTGAGGATCGTGCAGAGGTTCACTTATGACGTCATTGGTCCGTGAACTGACCTGACCTAAAAATGTAGTTGGTGTCACAAGATTCGACTTGAATCAAAGGTCAGGTATGCCAAGTTTCAGCTTCCTATCGCTGGTGAGTTCGGAGCTGTCGCGAACAGAATCTTCGGTTGGGCGGCGGTACTTCGCTCTCCCCTCGGCCCTGCCCCCACCTTATACGGTAAGGGTTGAGCAAAACGCCCATAACTCCGTGAATCGCAAAAAGTCGCAGACAATTTTAACAGGGTATTGAGAACAAACAT